CATGTTTCCCTGTGTCTGAAACTTCAAAGCCAGTGCCACCCTCTTGGTGTGAGGGGCATCTGTCCCACCAGGCGGCACTCAACTTAGTTGTTGCTGACTTTGAAGTTCACCAGAACGTTGTAGAACCTGCATTTAATCTGCACGATCGCAAGAGTACACAGCAACAACACTGCAGACCTGAGAAACCCGCCCTGACCTTGCCGCTGACCCGTTCCATGATGCTGTGTTCCAGATGCAAACAAAGAGGGGACCGGAGGCTTAGTAAGAGCTGACAGCAGGTGCACACCTTCCGGGGCACACAAGCTCAACAAGTTCTAGATGAATGAGTTATGCACTCTACTCCCCAAGGAACCACAGACCCTGCTCTCTGCTCTCCACAGATGATTTGCTGCGCTTAGGAAATCTGCCCTGGACACACCTGCTGAAAATAATCAACTACGGAATTAGTGATTTCAAACACTTCGCCAAACCGTCTTCTCTCCCAACGCATGTCCATCCTCCGGATCTTTCTGGGAGGTGGGAATTCACAGAGGAGAAAACTGACTCGGAAAACGTGATTGCCTTGCTTCTGTAAGACGCCTTGCTGAATCAGGACACAGGTCCGCCTCTTCAGTGGAGACCCTGCCTTACTCAACAACACACATCTCCTCTTCCCGGGACAGTCAGTGCAGGCTCTCAGAATGGCCTGGCGTTGGACATGCCTTCGGAGGCTGTCCTAGACACGGCCTCTGCAAAACCAGGCTGTCCCCGAGTCCTATAATAGGATTCTTTATCTTTATACCAAGAAGGCTGGGAAAGCATTAAAATCTACACGTGCCTAGGTCGGCTTCGCAGAGTTGGAGCTGTGAGACCTAAGTTCTCATGAGGTTGTCTAAAACGAAACACATCAGCAGGGCCTTTGGTGGGTCCATGTGTGCTCAATGTGTCCGTGACAAGATTGAGCATGCTTTCCTTAGTGAGGAGCAGAAAACCGTTGAGAAAGTGAAGTTGAAGGCACAAGTACAAAGTCAGAAAGCCAATTTCAAAATGAAGCTTTTTTGAGAAATAAAAACAATCAAAAGGCCAATTTACACATATCCCAAAGAACTTAACATAGTGTCCGCTTTATAGGCACATGTACATGCGAATGTGTCCATAATAACCAGACTTTGCACTAATAATATATACCACTTTTAAAAGTAGTGAAGGCCCTAACCGGTTTGGCTCAGTGGATAGATAGAGTGTCAGCCTGCAGACTCAAGGGTCCCAGGTTCGATTCTGGTCAAGGGCATGTGCTTTGGCTGTGGGCACATATCCAGCAAAAAGCGTACAGGAGGCAGCTGGTCAATGTTTCTCTCTCATCAATATTTCTAACTATCTTTCTCTCTGTAAAAAATTAATAAAATATATATTTTTAAAAAGTAGCTAAGGTTATTACTGACATTTAAAGATGCAGAAATTTGCCCAAGTGAAGAGTTAAATGATTATTTTCCAAAGCTTCCTAAGTTAGCATGCAATCTAGTTAGAATTTCTACCCAAGCTGGCCTCATTCTCCAGCTTCTGCATTTAATCACCATTATTGTGCAGGCAGCTTTCCCGAGTAAATGAAGTGAAATTTCCCCTAGCTTTTACCAAAGCCAGCTCACTTGTTTCCTTGGATTTGGGGAAAGTAGACAGCTACAATATTTAAAAATATTTGAGCTTCATCTTAAAATCAGACATCCCTACTTGTTTATATTCCACAAAAGAGCTCTGTTTAGAGGTTTATCTGGTTACATTAAGTACCGGATTAAATGATTCTGAAGTGTACATTGGGAACATTCTGAAGCATCATTTCTCTTTCAAAAGATAAATGCCAACATTAGTGCTTTCCTTGTGAGAGTTTAATGTAGTTACTCTCTTACTTTAAAAAGGAACAATAGATTATGAAAGCGCAACAGCCTGAGTAGGAGAACTTCCTTGAGGTCAGTGTTATCCTACAGCCACATGTCCGGCAGGAAGTCTGCAGCGGGCGTGACATTAACAAAGAATCCCCCACTTTCTTCGACCCTGGAGAGACTTGTGGCTTGTCCACTCGAACGAGACAAGCCTTGGATAAAAAGCATACTTTTTGCTTTTCATGTATATTACAGGCATGAAATCATATTTCTAGAGAGACTTTCACCAGCTCCATGCCAAGAGGTTTGCAGGGTTGACATATTAAGCACAGCCCACACACTCTGATGAGTGCACGCAATTGTGCACTTATGTGCTCTTTCTTAAAAAAAAAACAACCTTATTTTAAAAATATGTTTTTATTGGTTTTTTTTTTATAGAGAGAAAGGAAGAAATCTCAATCGGCTGCCTCCTACTCGCCCCTGCGCCCTCTCCCTCCCCTAACCCCCCGGCTGGGGTTTGAGTCTAAAACTCTGGCATGTGCCCTGATCGGGAATCGAACTGGTAACTTCTTGGTGCACAGAACGATGCCCAACTAACTGAGCCACACCAGCAGGGCATCATGTGCTTCTTAATGTATTCACTTGAGTAATGAGGGCATCCCCGGGCTTTATTTTCAAGCGAAGACCAAGGATGCACTTCTATGTTGATCTTTTTAGGTAAGCTTTGCTAAATATATGGGTTTTTAACATTCGGAATGTACTTAATGCCACTTGTACACTTACATGCGGAACCTCATTGGAGAGAGAGATCCTCTATCTATTGCCAAACCACTGGCTAATTAAAACAACTGAGAAATGAATTCCACACCTCAACAATCCTGCACAGAAAGCACTGTGTTCATTTTTTCAGCACGCTATCCATGAGTGGTTCCAATATTTACTTTCAAGTTATACAATAAAACTGGCTAAACAGTATATTGTTCAGAGATAAAACTGTATCTTGTTACTCATATGTACACGATCTTATGTCATCCTCAGAACAGCCTGTGAAGTGGACATTCAGGAGCAGGGCCATCAGCCCCAAAACTCTTAACCTCATCTCAGTGTTCTTACTGCTTCTTATGTTTGTTTTTTAAAAAGTTACATCAGCCCTAACCGATTTGGCTCAGTGGATAGAGCATTGGCCTGCAGACTGGAAGGTCCCAGGTTTGATTCCAGTCAAGGGCATGTACCTTGGTTGTGGGCACATCCCCAGTGTGCAGGAGGCAGCTGAATCAATGTTTCTCTCTCATTGATGTTTCTAGCTCTTTATCCCACTCCCTCTCCCTTCCACTCTGTAAAAAAACAACTATATATATATATATATATATATATATATATATATATATATATATATATATTTTTTTTTTTTTTAAAGTTAAATCAGCCCTGGCCAAGTAGCTCAGTAGGTTAGAATATTGTCCTGAGATGCCAAGGTTACAGGTTTGATCCCCAGTCAAGGCACACAAAAGAATTAATCAATGAATGCATAAATAAGTGGAGCAACAGAGCAACAAATTTATGTTTCTCTCTCTCTTTGTCTCTCTCCCTTCCTCTCTCTGAAATCAAACAATAAAAATCTTTTTTTTTTTAAGTTAAATCAACTTTGACACTTTCCTCTGATTTGGTCTTAAGCACTGTTAATTCTGATCTCTCCCTTATTCTGCAAGAACTGAAGAAAAAAATGGGGTGTGTTCTGCCAGCAGAGATAAAAGTTTGTTTCCTGAGATAGTCCCATGACTCCTGTAGGAGGCAGCAGCCGTCCAGCTCTGGATCTAGGCAACCTGGGCCTCCACATTAGCTGTGTGACCGTGGACAGGTCACCCAATCTCTCTGCACTTGTTTCCTCACCAGCACAATGAGGCAACAGTAGAAGCTAAATCCGTGTTTGGGGGCGGGGGGGGGGGGGGGGTTAAATAACACAGTATTTAGAACAGGGTTTCCCACATTTTATGTCTTCAGTCAGTCTCAGCTATTCTTGAACTGCCTGAACTAAGTTTAGGTTAGTGATCATACTAACTCACAAGAGACACCATGCAAACATCAGGAGACACAACTCACACATCGTTTTGGACATTCAGGAAGCTACTTCGCCTTGAAAAGATGATCCAAAAGCTCTCAGATGTCCCAGGCTGCTTGTATGTGATGGCTAAGTGTGTATCTCTATCAAACCAAATAGCTTTTTGGCATTGGCTAAATTAAAATAGGGTGGGTTTCTTGACATTACCTCACCTCCAAGACTCATACACACTCTAAGTTTAAAAAAAATAAATAAATAAACAAAGATTGCTTGGGTTCTCAAGTAAATAGCTGTCAAGAAGCATGGCCATCTTCCTAACCTGCAACTTGCTCTCATCGCTTTCTCTAAAACTGTCCCCTCGCAGCGTGCATCTCGGCACTTGGTGTCCCCGATGGTGGCGGCCCCAGAACAAAAGCCCGATTGCCGCGGGGACAATGCAGCCCTTTCTCTGAGGTCACCGCGGAGCCCTCGGAACGGACAAGCGGAGAGGGCGTTCCTGCAAGCTTGCAAGCACGGGCATCGAAACCCGGGACCCCAGGCCTGCCGACGCGAGCTGTTATCTTGCAGAGTCGATTCCCATGCTCCTCTCTCCCCTTCCCTACAAACTCTGGCTCTGACTCCCGGACGTTTCAGAGTTCTTTGCGACACGTGTGTTTCCCTGCTCCCCTGAGTCTGCAAAACCCGAGGTCCTCTTCTCCCACCCGCACAGCGAGAAGAGAGGCAGGACAGCAGCCCCCTTGGGCGCTTCAGTCTCCGTTTGGGGCGTCCTGGCCAGGCGCGCCCCCCAGCAGGGCTCGGGGCGGGGAGTCCCCTAATAACTCCCTTTCGGAATGTGTTATGCTCTGTCTCACCCATTCCTGCCTCCCCCCTCCCTCCTCTCCGGCCATCTGTCCACCCCAGTGTTTGGGTTTTGGGGGTGTTTCTTGCGGGGGTGGGGGTTTATAAGCCAACCCCCGAGTCCCTGCGCCCCAGCGGGCGAAGCGGGAGCCCCACCTCCCCAGCCCCGTGAGTCGGGCGCCGGGTCTCCATCCCCGGCCGGCACACACTCCCCCGATCGGCGGCCCCGGGAGGCCTCCGGGACTCACGCGGTCTCCCTGGGTCTCAGGGGCCTCTCCCCGGCCGGCTCCCGGCCCCTCGGGGTCAGAGAGTGGGCGCCTCCCATCGCTCCGAGCTCGCGCCTCCGCTGCGCCCTCCGTGTCCCGGAGCGCCGGCCGGACCTCCCGGACCCGGACCGGGACCCGGACCCTGGGCGGGAGGAGGCGGGGGCGGGCGGAGGCGGAGGCGGGGCGGGAGGGAGGGAGGGTGGGGCCGAGGGCTGGGCGGGAGTGGCCAGGAGCCCTGGTTGGGGTCCCGGCCCCGGGGAAAGCCGGCGAAAGGACGCTCAGAGCCTCGACCAACGTCTCCGCCGAGGGCAGGGCTCAGCCTGCGGCGCCGCCCGGGACTCCGCGGGGAGATGCCGATGCCCGGTCCCGCCGGGCTGGGCTCCGCACTCCCAGCCGGGGAGCCCCCAGGAGAGGACGGGACCCCGGGGCGCGCTCTCGGAGCCCCAGGGCTGGGGAACACCTCTCTCCGCCCGCCCAGCCGGGGCGGGAGGGCGGTGGCGGCGCCGGGGCAGCGGGCAGTGGCCTGGAGCCCCCGCGCGAGGCTGCTCTGCCCAGAAGCACCAACAGAGGGCGCTGAGCGCCGAGCGGGAGACGGGCTGCCTTCAGAGCGCCAGCTTCCCCCGCACGCACGAGGGCAGGGGTGAGGCCAGGGCTGAGTACTTCAGAAAACCGGGTTGATCCTGGTTCTACCCCAGATTAGCTGAGTGAGTTGGGACAAGCATATTCACCCCCTCCGATTTACTTCTTCATCTGTAAAGAAAGCATGGGAGCACATTTAATGTCCTTTCTGGGTTCGACAACCAATGAATGGGTGTTCTTTCAAACTCGGGGTGAGAGGCGGAGAGGGAGGGGGGATGCCCGCTCTCCCTCCCATTGCACCTAATAACTCCCTTTCTGAATATTTTATGCTCTGTCTCACCCATTCCTACATCCCACCTCCCTCCTCTCCGGCTGTCCACCCCAGTGTTTGGGTTTTGGGGGTGTTTCTTTGGGGGGCGGGGGTGTTTATAAAGATTGGAATGTCTTTGTTCACTAACATCTACCTATTTACCCTTCCAGATCCAAAGCAAACCTCCTTCTAGAACACTGTTTTAAATCCTGATATGACACCTTTTTTGTTGTTGTTATTGCTATCTCCTTCGCTGGGATGTAAACCTCGTAAAGATAGGAAATTTATTTTGTTTTCATTGTTCCTGCTTGGCACTCACTTGTTGATAAATGTAGTCATTCTACAAGCTTATTATCACCGTCCTTCCCTGTGTCCCGATAACACTTGTTAATTTCTCTAACATAGCATTTACCAATCTTATTTTGTAATTACCTCTTCACTCCTTTATCTTTCCACTACAATCTGAGTTCTTTAATGGCTTTAATCTCTGTATCCAAGCTCAGTGCCTGGCACAGTGCCTGTTCCCTGGATGGTATACAATGTTTGCTGAATTAATGAAAGCCTGTGGGAGAGCACACAGAATGGTGTTCAACATTAACTGTCATTCTTGATGGGAAGCGCTAAGAGAATAAAGATGTATGTGGCTACATTTTTATGTCTCCAGAAAACTCAGACTTATATTTACAACACTAGAGGCCCAGTGCACAAAATTCATACATGGGGGGGTCCCCTCAGCCCAGCCTGCACACTCTCCAATCTGGGACATCCCTCTCACAATCCAGGACTGCTGGCTCCCAACCACTTGCCTGCCAGTCAGCCTGATCACCTCCTAACCACTGATGGCCTGATCAATGCCTAACTGCTCCCCTGCTGGCCTTATTGCCCCTAACTACCCTCCCCTACCAGCTTGATCCCCCTAACTGTCTTCCCTTACAGGCCTGGTCGCCCTCAACTGCCTTTCCCTGCTGGCCTAGTCACCCCTAACTACCCACCCTTGCCAGCCTAGTCACCCCCAATTGCCCTCCTCTGCAGGCCTGGTTGCCTCCATCTACCCTCCTCCGCAGGCCTGAATGCCCCCAACTGCCCTCCCCTGCCAGCCATTTTGTGGTGGTCATCTTGTGTCCATATGGGGGCATCCATCTTTGACCACATGGAGACGGCCATCTTGTGTGTTGGAGTGATGGTCAATTTGCATATCAGTCTTTTATTAGATAGGATAGTTCTCCTTTTTTATGTTTACTGTAGACTTCCTGTTTATATATTATCTTCACTCTCTTATAGCCAGAGGGTTCCTCAAGTTCAGGGTTCTGTCACATTGTAGAGATATGCATCAGAGTATTTCGGGGGTGGGAAAATACACATTAATTCATAAAAATATAATGAGACTGAACTGAGGTCTTTAGGAAGGATTTCAAGTAGCTGAAGAAAAGTTAACTCTTGGCAATACTTTTTTTGGGGTTAAAATTCTTCACCCATTCTACTGGGAATACTTTGGCAATGTGACTGAAGAGCCAATGATATCATAAACATGACGCTGTCAAAGCTCCAGAGGACACTTAGCCTCTCCTAGTGAGAAAGGGTCATTCCAAGGGAAATGGGAGGGGGAGTGACTGGGGAAGAGGGGGAGGATGGGAAAATTGTGGACAAGACAGGCTGTGGGAAGAGGTTTATTACTGTGAACACAGAAAGGCTCAGGATGGTTTAAAAGAAAAGGAAAAAAATGGAACCCACAGCCTATTGTGGTGTAGAGAAACCAAGATAAAGATAGGGAAAAGGAGTCTAAAATAAGGTGAAAGGCTGTCTATACGGGACCCAAATGCATTTCTGCAGAGATGCTTGTGTTGACTGACTTGCTGCCCTGACTGGTACCGTCGGGGCTTTACACGTGAAGCCAGTGAAGATGACGAGATCCCTTGCCCTTCCAACGTGTGAGGACACAGCAGGCATTGGCCTTGAACCAGGAAAATGGCTTCATCAGAATGCAACCAGGCTGGTGCCCTGATGTTGCAAGTCCAGGCTTCAAAACGGAGAGAAATAAATTCTGTTGGGTTTTTACTATATAAGCTATCCAGTTTGTGGCATTTTATTTTAGCAGCACAAATGGATGGAGATAGGAGGTGAGCCCCTTTGGGGGCTATTTCTTTTCCCTGCTGGCTGGAATGCTGATGGGATAGCGGAATCACGTAGCCATGCTTAATTCTGAGGTTGAAGGAGCCTGAACCCATTACACCCTGGAATCTCTGAGCCTGTCCTGGATTGTTTACCTACAGATTTCCTTTATGTAAGAAAAAAAGTGAATAACACATTGGTTAGTGACTAATACTTTGGATTTCTGTGAAACTCAGACAACGCAAACCCTAATCAACATTCTGGCCATTAAATTTGGGAGGAAAAGAGTCCCATTATCTCACAGTCAAACTACATGTACCTGGAAGAACCATATTACTTAGCGGCTTGCCAGCAATCGCTCCATCCTACTCTACTGATAAAGAGTGCTATTAAATGAGCCCCAATTCTAATACAGCTATACCTCATTTTATTGCACTTTGTTTTGTTGTACTTGCCAGAGATTGCATTTTTTACAAATTGAAGGCTTGTGGCAACTCCGAGTTGCACAAGTCAATTGGCACAGTTTTTCCAACAGAGCTTTCTCATTTTATGGCTCTGTGTCACATTCTGGTAATGATGGCAATATTTCAAAGTTTTTTGTTGTTATTATGTTTGTTGTGGAAATTTGCTATCAGTGGTTGTGGTTGTTTTGGGACACCATGAACCAAGCCCATATACAGTGGCAAACTTAATTGGTAAATACTGTGTGTGTTCTCACTGCCCCAGTGGCCAGTCATTCCTCCATCTCTCTCCCTCTCTTCATGCTTCCCTATTCCCTGAGACACAATAATATTGAAATTAGGCAATTAATAACCCTACCATGGGCCTCTCAGTGTTCAATAGAAAGGAAGAGCCACGCGTTTCTCATTTTAAATCACAAGCTAGAAATGATTAATTTTAGTGAGGAAGGGATGCCCAAAGCTGTGATGGCCAAGCTGTGAAGGCCATGGAAAAATTTTTAGAGAAAATGAAAAGTGCTTCTCCAGCGAACACATGAATGATAAGAAAGTGAAACAACCTTATTGCTGATATGGAGAATGTTTTAGTGGTCTGGATAGATCAAACCAGTCACAATATTCCATTAGGCCAAAGCCTAATCCAACTAAGGCCCTAATTCCCTTCAATTCCATGAAGCCTGGGAGAAGGTGAGACAGCTGCAGAAGAACAGTTTGGAGCTAGCAGAGGTTGTCTTGTGAGGTGTACAGAAAGAAGCCATCTCCATCACAAGGCGAAGCAGTAAGAGCTGATATTGAAGCTGCACCAAGTTATCCAGAAGATCTAGCTAAAATAATTCACGAAGGTGGCTACACATTTTCAATGTAGATGAAACAACCTTGTATTGGAAGATGATGCCATCTAGGATTTTCACAGCTAGAGAGGAGAAGCCAATACCTTGTTTCAAAGCTTCAAAGGATAAGTAGACTCTCTTGTTGGCAGCTAATGAAGCTGGTGACTTGAACTTGAAGCCAATGCTTAATTACCATGGTGGAAATGCTGGGGCCGTTAAAAATTGGGCTAAACCCACTATGCTCCTGCTCTATAAATGGAACAACAACGTCTGGATGACAGCACATCTGCTTACAATGGGTTACTGAATCTTTTAAGCCCACTGTTGAGACTTATGTTCAGGGGGAAAAAAATGTTTTTTTTCAAAAATGTTATTGCTCATTGACAATATACCTGGCCACCCAGGAGCTCTGATAGAGATGTACAAGATTAATGTGTGTGTTTTTTCCCTGCTTGCTAACACAATGTTCATGCTGCAGCCCATGGGTTAAGGAGTCATTTTTACTTTCAAAGTCCTATTATTTAAAAAATACATTTTGAAAGGCTCTAGCTGCCATAGACAGTGATTCACTTGATGGATGTTGGCAAAATAAAGTAAAAAACCTTCTGGAAATGAGTCACCATTCTAGATGCCATGAAGAACATTCGTGATTCATGAGAAGAGATCAAAATATCACCATTAGCAAGTATTTGGAAGAAGCTGATTCCAAACCCCATGGATGACTGAGGGGTTCAATACCTCAGCGGAGGAGGCACCTGCAGCTGTGGTGGAAA